TCGTGGTGGGCAGAGCACAGATAGCCCATTGTGTAGCTTTGTGCTTAATTACAAACAAACAAACAATCTTTACATTAAAATATTTTTTGTTTATTTGCGAATTTTCGGCCTTCATCGGGCAACAATGTACTGAGCAATATAAATTCGTTAATCTGTGGAACACTGCTAATTAATTTGTATTGTTCAGTACATTGTTGCCCGATGAAGGCTCCGGTAAGAGGGCCGAAAGGTCGCAGATGAAAGTAAAGTATTTTAACAAAGAGTTAAACAGACATACCGCTGTGCCACTGGGGGGGGGGGGGCGCTAATAATTCTACATATTAGTTTACCTACATTAGGACTCCTAAAAAATAACTACATTACTTTTTTTTTCATGAATAAATTTTCGTCGATTTATCCGTGATTTATCGACAGTGATTCCTCGAAAAAGAATCCGTTTTTAGGCCTAGTGAAGCTACAATAATAGTTTGTGATTTAGAATTTAGCACCCTCGATTGACTGGTCTGTTTTCGCTTGCTTTAACATCTTGCGAAATAAATTCATATGCTTTTCTCGAGTATCTACGGCGGCTATTCTGAGAATCGATGTATCTTCGCGTGATTTTAGTGGTAGTATAAACTCACGTGATCGTTCTACAGAGTAGAAGCGGATTAACTATAAGTTGTTAGACGTGAGAGTAATAAACGTAATTTTCATGTTTTGTGCGAAATAATTATATATTTATTAATCTGCAATAGATACTGTTGTATAAACTAATTCTAATTTTGTTTATATATATATATATATTTTTTAGGTATGTATCGAAAAATAATACAATATTTCGAAGAAAAGTCTATCAGGAGGAAACAGTATTGTTTATTTGTAATTAAGCGCAAAGCTACACAATGGGCTATCTGTGCTCTGCCCACCACGGGGATCGAAACCCGGATTCTAGCGTTGTAAGTTGTACCGTTGTGCCATTGGGGAGGGGACAGGAAACACTATATTTCGCGCACTTGAAACATCATTACACAATATAAGCTACTGTTTTTAAGTTCCTAGCATACTCTAGGATTTTTAGGGTTAACAGCGAGGCTACCGAACTGATGAAACAATACATTCTAATCTTTGTATGTTTAAACACAAGAAAAACATATTTAATTAGCTATACTGATTGTCGGGTTCACTTTTTAGTTTTATTCTATTTGTTTGTTTGTAGTTAAACACAAAGCTACACAATGGGTTATATGTGCTCTGTCCAGCACGAGTTTCGAAACCCGGTTTCTAGCGTTGTAAGTCAGGAGACGTGCCGCTGTGCCAGTGGGAGGCATTTTTGTTCTAAGTATAAAGCTTGTGCTGATCGGAAGTTAATATTTATTTATATTCATAATTACCAGATGAATAAAAGTATAATAATAATCATTTCTTATCAGAGCAAACTATGTGCTCAGAGCAAAACCAAAAATCCACCTAGCAATCAGTATAGCTAATTAAATATGTATTTTTTCACGTTTCTACTCATGGAGATCAGAACGCATTATTACCCGGGCTGTTAACGACATTTGCGGCCGTAATCCCAACAATATCTCAGGTCAGTTCTAAATACATATTTTAACCTAATAAAGAACACAATAAAGAGTAAAGACATACGATGCTGGATTCATTCAAATGATGCAATAGTCCCCACAATGCCCCGATCTCAATCCAATTGAGCAGATCTTGGATTTCATAGATCAAAAACTTGACAAATCAAAAGTTACTTCCAAAAAATCTTTATGAGAGTGTATTAGAGACATTTGGAGTAAAATCACAAAGGACACTTTGATCAAATATGTTGCAACAGTGCCTGAAAGACTGTTTGCAGTTATTAACGCAAAAGGGGGACACAAAAAATAATAAGTGTGTGCTGAACTCAAGCACTTCTACGGAGTTTCTATTGTACTAAATATGAAGTTTCATAAAATTTTGATGTTTCACCTGTGATTTACCTTCCATTACTCTTTGAAAGTAGCCTGAAATCTAATTTTTGATTTTGTCCTAACACTTTTGCACAGTACTGTATGTCATGCTGTGTTGTAGTCTACAGAGTGCCCAATTCTTCCCGTGATTCATGGCATGCGCACATTTTACAGAAGTCACGACAGTACAAATTACAACGTTAAGCGTCCCTTATGTGACGTAATTTTAGTGTCTACTCACTGACTGACAGACAACACACTACTGTACAACAGTGCGAGTGGTTGAAACAGGTGACCCCTCCAGGCGGCCCTTTCGTTTTGGCTGTGGTGGTCAGGGAAGACCTGAGAAGGGCTGTGCTTACTGTGTAGATCAAGGTGGCCCTTAGCAATTGGAAGGCTTTCTTTAATGAGAAGTTCAAGGGCTGTAGAACAGTTGTAATGATGGTAAAGCTGTTTACAGATGTCTAATGATGTACATCTTTCCAATTCAGGCTATGTTTACACTTACGGAGGAAAGTGTGATAGTTTTATTTAAAATTAAGTCTTTCCAAATCTCTAAATTCCTTACAAATTCCGGTTAGTAGCATAAACGAACACTTAAGGATTTCCCTCACGACGGCATCAAATTAGCAGCCGAAATGTAGGGCTTAAGCTAGTTAGTAAATGGTATCTAGCAGAAGCAAAATAACAATAATTAATTATAAGACTTAGGTGGTCATACAGGCTACTTACAAACTATGGCGTAGTTCAAAGAAATGAAACTTACCAGTCCAGTGAAACAATGCATAAGGGTCAGTCCTAGGAAGCCATACATACAGGTTAATTTATTTGTTTGTTTGAAGTTAAGCACAAAGCTACACAATGGGCTATCTGTGCTCTGCCAACCATGGGTATCGAAACCTTGTTTCTAGCGTTGTAAATCCGCAGACATACCGCTGTACCATTGGGGGGGCATATACAGGTTAGAATACATCAGAATAAATCAGTTAGATTTTCAGCACATTCGTTTAATATATGGGATTTTTATAAGAATTAATTAAACCTAAATTGTTCTAAATGTAACAATGATACCCATAAGCTCTACTTGTAACGAATCTCATTTGATAATGCTGGTGACATCATTTAAGAAAAAAAAGGGCATTAACTTATGTATAAATGTATAGGACGTGCTGAGAATTTGTTTTAAAATCTTGTTGCCTTTCTTCAGAAGTTTTATGCAAAACTACACAGTCGACTATCTGCACATAGCCGTCATTAATTTTACAATATTAAACTAGTACTGTTTACACATAGCCATCCCTAATTTTACAATGATAAACTAGCAGGAATGCAGATAGCCAACAACACCCACTGCTAACTCTTGGGCTAATCTTGTCTGACCGAATGGTACGATTTGACCGTTACGCTTATAACTCACCAACAACCTCAGGGTGCGGGAAATTCATGTAATTCATATTAAGATTAAATTGTTAATGTGTTACGTAGTTAAAATAAGGACGTTAGGAAGCAGTGTTATCTGGACCAGCTAATGTAATAATTATCAAAATCAGAACAAAGGGCCCGGCATGGCCAGGTGGTTAGGGCGCTAGACTCGTAACCTGAGGGTCGCGTGTTCGAATCCCCGTCCCACCAAACATGCTCACCCTTTCAGCCGGCTCGGCATGACCAGGTGGTTTGGGCGCTAGACTCGTAACCTGAGGGTCGCGGGTTCGAATCCCCGCCCCACCAAACATGCTCACCCTTTCAGTCGTGGGGGCGTTATATTGTGGCGGTCAATCCCACTATTCGTTGGTAAAAGAGTAGCGCAAGAGATGGCGGTGGGTGGAGATGACTAGCTGTCTTCCCTCTAGTCTTACACTGCTAAATTAGGGACGGCTAGCGCAGATAGCCCTCGTGTAGCTTTGCGCGAAATTCAAAACAAAACAGAACAAAGAAAACAAAAACGAAGAAACATAATCAAGTAATCAAGAAGAATTTAACATCTGAATCAATTTTACGCTGTATTTTTTGAATCAAAATCACGATTGGGCTTTCAAGTATGTTATAATATATATATATATATATATATGCAATCTATATTTAAAAGTGGCTTGTCTGTATGTAACGAGGATTTTCACAACCTTTCATCACCACGAAATTTTCAGTGGTTCTTGTGTATAACCCGGGATTTTTCGATTTTAGGGCCATTTCAATTTTTCTCCTTGTTACTTCCTCAAATCCTATTTCCCGAACTCTGATCCCTATGAAATTTCCAGTTCTTTGGTATGTCCCAGAAGGATTTCAAAGCCCCGTACCTTATTCATTTTCTCATTTTTACGAGTTTGACGGCCATTCCAATTTTATCTCTGCTATTGCCTTACTGTATCGTTTCATGTCTCTCAATGGGTAAATTCACGGACTTACAACGTTAAAATGCGGGGCTCGATTCCCCGTGGGAGACAGAGCACAGATAGCCTATTGTGTAGCTTTGTATTAAAACAAAGAAATCCTGTTTTTATAAATAGTTAAGTACTTTTTTTTGCGGGAAATTAAAACAATTCATAAATACAAGAAATAGTTGACAATCCTGTAACATATTTCTTGAGAAGTTATATATTCGTACAATAGTGAAACTGTTTTCGTTCAAAGACAACGAAATAAATGCTAGTAAATGTAGCTTGATTTATTTACTTGAATACTTGTTTTAGCGCAAAACTATATACAACGGGTTATCTATACTCTATACATAGTGAGGAATCGAACCTCGGATTCTAGCCTTGTAACTCCGTAACTTTATCACTGACCCACCGATGGAAGTTTTCCTTGGAAAAAACCAAAAATTCATAATTTAAAATTCAGTGTAAATGAAGTTAGGAACTACTGTTGTAAAACTCACTTGATTTCAAGGGTTTAATTGTGTCCAAAATAATTATATTGAAAAGGTGTTAAGACAACACACTTTATTAATTCAATATTTTTTTATATCTAGAGACACAATACATAACACTTGATAAAACTTTAGGTTCAGCACACTCTTACGTGTACCATTTACTTGATAAAACTTTAGGTTCAGCACACTCTTACGTGTACCATTTACTTGATAAAACTTTGTAAATTGTACACGTAAGAGTGTGCTGAACGTAACAAATAAAAGGTTAAAGAAAGTCAACAAGGTTATATATATCCCCAGAAAACAAATGTATATATTAGAATGACGATCCGAGCAATCTTGTTTCATCCAACCTAAATACAGATCCCGAGGATTACTTGTTACAATTCTATTCATAGCTCACTAGCTGAGAGGTTGATATGAAGTTCAGGTTTCAATCGATGGATTAATTTTCGTTATGGACTGTGCTACTTAGTGTCAACACTGCTCTGGTAAACAACATCATAACAGCACGTGAGGAGAAAAATTGTCCTTTACTGACGTTGAATCGTTGCGTAGTCTTACTCCTCCTCCGACGAGCATTTAATACGTAGTGTGAAAACTTGCATGATACATGATCGCAGTCCGATTTTAATGGCCCGTTATTTTCTAGAATACCACTATGTTTCCTCTGTACAGGAAATTGTATAAAATAGTAAACCTCTCTATAACTTTATTTGGGAACACTAGAATTACTGAAG